AAATCAATTAAAAACAAAAATAAAGGAAATAAAAAAATTAAAAAAAAATTATAAAAATAATTTTTAATTATTAAAAACAAAAAAAATTTAGTTTAAAAAAAATTAAATTAAAAAAAGAACTAATTAAAAAGTTAAAAAAAAAAATTAACTAAAAAGTTAAAAATAAATTTAAAAAATACAAAAAAACCAAATCGAAAAAATCAAAAATACAAAAAAAAATCACCAAATCGAAAAGTTCCAAAAAAGTAACTAAAATATATTCGCAATAAAAACTAATTTTAAACCAAAGAAACAAAAATAACGTTTACTTCGGTTAAACCGAAGCTATAGCACCCTTCACAAATACAAAAGATTCCTTACAAGAACTTGCTTTTGATCTTCCAGTTTGTATGACAGCTATACTTGTATGTATGCCATAGAGATCCGATCTGAACAATTTCTTCGGATATCGTGGCGTTGCCTTGGAAATTAAACCATGCCACATTTCTTAAAGATATCTCGTTCAATGAAAAAGTTTCCCATACAAGCACTTTATCCCGATCGTTCAGTTTGTATGGCAACTATATGCTATAGTGAGCCGACATCCATCGTTCTGACAAATGAGCAGTTACTTGTGCAAAATTTCAGATCAACATCTCAATAATTGAGGACTAGTTCGCGTATACACAGATAGACTGGCTAAATCTACTCAGCTCGTCACGGTGATCATTATGTATATACAGCTGTGTTCATAAAAATAGCAGTGCTCATGAGCTGCAACTTTAAACTTAATTTTATATATCAAAAAGTAAATGAATGTTCACAAATTTAATTTTGTTTTAACTTTGTGATTATTTTAAACAAAAACAAATCAATTTATTATTCAAAATGTTGTTAATTTTTTTTACATTATTAATTTAAACAAAAAAGTGCTGTTTACAGCTGTTCATAAAAATAACAGTGAGTAATGAAAACAGTGGAATTAGTCGAAAAAAACATTGTTGAACTCCAAAAAACTATTTTAATTTGTTTGCTTGGGTTAGTACTTAGTCGTGTACCCATTATTTTTTATTATGGCCTGGCATCTGCGAGGCATAGAATCTACCAAGTCCTGGCAGCGCTTGGCAGAGATCCGCTCCCATGATTTTTGAACAACCTTCCAAAGCTGTGATCGAGATGTTGGATTTGCATTTGCAACATATCGTTTAACATCTCCCCATAGATTTTCAATTGGATTTAAATCCGGAGACTGCGCAGGCCATGACATAAGATCGATCCGCTTTGATGCCATCCAGCTTTTGACCAGTTTGCTTGTATGTATGGGGTCGTTATCTTGTTGAAACGTCCATTTTAGTGGCATTTCCCAATTGGCATAAGGAAACATAACATTTTCTAATATGTTAACATATACAGATCGATCCATGATCCCATCAATCATGAATATACTGCCCACTCCACTGTAAGAAAAACATGCCCATACCATAATACTCAATCCGCCGTGATAACTGTCTTCAAAGTGTACCTAGCATCATACTCTGTGTTAGGAGGACGTCTGAAATATTGTCTGGAGCCCTTTCCACCAAATAACACAATTTTACTTTCGTCACTATATAAAATATTTCGCCACTTTGTAATGGGCCAATGGGCTTTGACATGTCTGGTGGCTAACAGTGGAACTTTTCGTGGATGGCACGCTTTGAGATTTTGTTCTTTAAGACGTCGCCGAATAGTAACGCCACTAACATTCAAGCTTAAGTCATTTCCGAAAAAAAAGTCTGCTAATCTATATACAATTATACCATAAGTTTCGTAAACTTCGCATAAAATATATATATATATAAATGTATCTATATATATGTACATATGTGTTTGTACTTTTTTAATGCGAAATTCCTGGAAAGGTGCATAAACATATAAAGCAGTTTCTTAGTTAAAAACAAAAATATTTTTCTCGTTTGAACACGAAGCGCGCAGCACAATCCCCTCCCGATTGTAAACATGTTTTACATTGCATTTTCATAAGATATGTATACATACACACAAATGTGTATATAAATACTGGGTACTATGTATAATATTATAGTTGCTATATTTTTATTTACCATAAAAATGCAAATATATTTTATACCATCAGAAAATTGGGACTTCCACGAACATAAAGCCTGCCGACTTTTTAAAAAAATTTTATATTTTGTCTTGAGATTTTATGATCGAAAATTTGGGTTTTTTCTGATATTAGGTCAATATAAGAAAAAAATAAATATTTTAAATAAAAAAAAATATAATATGTTTAGGACATAAGAAGGTTAGTTTCCGCCAAATTTCGTGTTTGAAAAAAAATGTTGTACTCTGATAAAAATAAAAAACCCAAAAAGTTGGTTATATGAATTTTTCACATAAGTATTGAGGTTATGTGAAAAAAGTCACGATACGAAAGTTATAGATCTTTTCTTTACCTACAACATTGCCATATAACTTTTTTCTGTAGGAACCGTAGCAACCGTAAATCGAGATAAGCTATTCTTAACCCTGAAAATTTCAGCCACGCCTCTCCCTCTTCGTTTTCCTGAGCTCAGATTGCCCGTAAATTATTTTTCACTTAATATTTCTCATTTTATCTTTCGTTTCCGATGAGTTGCAATCTATTAAGATTTTTTTTAGTCTATATGTATACATAATAGATAGATAAAAAAATCTCCAATCAAATCTCAAATCAAATACTACTACAATAACTGTACAATATATTTTATAGATTTCCTATATTGTTCTTAAAAAGCATATATAAAAACTATATATATTTAATGCAAATACAATAAATATTTTTATTGTTTTTGTTGATTTTTTTGTGATTAAAATAAACAATCGTTGAAATGATTATTACAAATAATTAATAATTAATTGTTAATAATACAATTAAATACCCATTTGTGTTTCCTGCGTGTGTTTGTAATTGTTCGCTTTTTTTCGAGTTATGTGGTAATTCGAGAGTAATCTATTAGCAATCTAAATGTAAATATTTTATGTTTTTATTTGTGCTACAACTTATTTACTTCTTCAGTTTAATAAATGCAAATTCATATACAATTTAAATAGAGATATTATTGTTTAGTTTGCTTCTCTCTCTCGCTCTCTTTATACCACTACACACATAAACTAAAAGTTGCGCTCAAATTGCAAAAGCAAATGTGCGCTTTGCATTGTTGTTGCACATACACACACAGACACACGTAAGTACGAATAATTATAAAAAATGTAAACATTATACATTGTAAAACAAATTAAGAATAAATATTAAAACAATTTAAGTTAGCATATACTTGAATTATCCAAATATTAAAAACAATAAAATGGACGTTCGTTTTTCAATTATGGCTTCAAATGCAGTGTTGCTGGCGCACAGCTCTATTTCCGCTTGAATATGTTGCTGAGACGCCGCTTTGGTGGAGAATTCTGAAAAGGATAAAGTTAATAGTATAAATAAAATATAAATATATACATATATATTTCAAATACTAAGTTCAGCCTTCCAAACTGTACAGCTGATTGTTTAAACTTTTTTAATTTAATTTTATATTTTAATCAATTTTATTATTTCTTATAAATTTATAAAGTAAATGTATTGTGGATTTAAAAAAAATTTAATTTTTGAAAATACTTTCTTGATTTTCAATTAGCCTAAATAAATAAATATAATTATATTATCTCAGCTAGAAGAGTAAATGCTTGTCAACATTCGTTAAAGTGAGGTTATGTACAAATATGGCCGCTATCCCAAATTTAACATATTCACCGAATTTTATTAAGATATTGATTATTGACTATATGATGTACTGTCAACTGGAACTATAAAAATCGTTTTAATCGGTATATGGCGGGAGACTTGGACCGATTTCAATCCCTTTTGCAACGAAATCACATTACACTGAGAGATATATTCTGCCCAAATTTTTTAAGAGTTCTCCGAGATTTACCAAAATAACTGTAAACATTTTAACAGGAGGGGAAAACATATTTGTTTCCTGTATGTAGGAACAAGGGTAAGATATACATAACCGATGTTTTAAAAAATATTGTCATGTGACAAAAGCACCACATATATGTATTAACTTTCATTTCGATTTCTTCCTTAATAACATCATATAACCTCAAAAATTTCTACATGCAATTATTGGTAACCTTCAAAAAAATTTACAAATGCAAAAGGCTTTGCTGATAAAATCTGTCAATGTATCTTTCAAATAGTATAAAAAATCAAGAAAAAAAACAGAACCTATTTTTGATCAAATTTGAGTACATTATTCATTTTAACATCACGTCGCTTTTGTTGGTAGACCCTTTATACCTCATATTCAGTGTATGCTGAAATTATGGCGACCCTAGAAAGTTATAAACTGATAATTATGTAGCTTAGGTTATGCTCTATTATTATATCATATTAAGGGGACTCCACTCGGATAGCAAGCCGGAGTAGTGTTCTGACCAAACTCACCAAATAATTAAAAATTAAGGTAACTAAAGTCACCACCGAATAAAATAGGGATCGAGTTGGTGATTGAAGTTGAAAGGAAAAATGACGAAAAGATTTTTTCGTTAGCGATATAAAACAATTATTAAGGGGTTACAAGGGTTTCGTCGAGCAAGAAACGCCCTATTTGCAATAATTTTGTTTTCATATAAAAAATGAAATATTTTATTCAAACTTTTTATTATTCCGAAGATACATATTTGATAAAGATTTTGTAAAATTTTCAAAGGAAAATATTCAAAATTCGTCCTCTACGACGTCATTTCCGGCAGTCCCTCGGTAAAACGGTGCTTTCGCGTTAACAGCAGAATTTTTGACAGGATCATCATAAGTAAAAAAAGAAAAAATGCGTGTTTGAACTTAGAAATAGGTACGGAGACAGAGAAAAAAAACAAATAAAGTGAAAATTGTATTTTTGGCAGACGTTTTTACAAAAACATACAAATTTTTGTGAAAATTTCTCAACGATTTTTGTTTTTTAAATAGTTGTAATTGAACAGAATAAATATGCCTTCAAGGCAAGACCTTATAAATTATAGCTGAAAGACCTGTGAAAAAATTCATAAAGATCGGTTGAGTAGTTCGTGGGAAATCTTAGCAACTGACTTTGAAAACACAGTTTCGGGAAAAAAAGTTAAAAATTTTAGGTGAGTATGTAGCTGAGCTCGAGCGCGCAACTTCTCAAAGCTGTATCTCCAAAACTATTACTGGGATCAACTTGAGAATTTAGGACAATATTTTAAAGATGTTATAGAATTAAATAAGACAATACAATTTTTATTTGTTTTTTGAAGCCGTGAAACCCATGTAACCCCTTAAACAACTTACTGGAATTTTGATGAATTTTGTCCATGAAACGGACAAAAGAATTTGTTCGAATAGTATGGTTCAATACTTATGAGATTGTGGTCCTTTTCGTGTTTTAAACATATACTTTGAACATTCTTTGCTGATGATTTGCGAAATAGGGACTTCAATAATATCAACATTTGTTACACGTCATAAATATGGTATATTTACCGTTTTTTTTTGAGTAACTATAAACATTGTCCATTTCAGTTTTCAAAAATTTATTGAACAATATCATAATTTTAGAAATACATAGCGATTTTACCTTAAGCAAATTGAAAATTTCTAAATATGCACATTAATCAAACAAATATTAACAGCAAAATGACGGGTTTGCATGGAATTTCGCTCTCGACAGAGCAAATCAATGCTTCAAGAGCATATTACGGATCTAATTAGCACAAAAAATATAACTTTTTTTTTGGAATACATAAAGCAATTGTTTGATCTTAACAATAATTTGAAACAACATAAATTTTTAATTTATTGAAATATTTTGATTTTTAGGGTTTTTGAAATTTGAATCGTTCCAATCAAAATGTCATATTAAATGGACATAAAGCTCTAACGGTGCTTTATGTATATGACATTTTAAATAACGAATCCTGCCAAAAAATAAAAATTCTCGATTTGGTCGAGTAGACCACGAATTATCTACGTGAAGACCAAATATTCACACATACAACGATAAGGCCAGATAGATCAAAGCGATTATCGGCGCAAAGACCGAGATTGCGATGGTTAACTGTAATTGCTGGTCTAAGCGCACCCAGATGCTTGACCACAAACGCACCACATCCGCTAGCGTAATCTGCGCCATTTTGTCGCTATCGTTTTGCTCACTTTCACCGATCGCTTTCACGGTCAACACTTGCGGCGTATTGAGCTGCAAGTTCGCCGCCAGCGTCACCTTGGCGCACTTCGGCAGGAGCGTGTACGTAAGGGAATGTCTATGCTTGACAGAGCGGCGTCTTATCGGCGAGGCAACAACATCGAATGCGAAGTTGGTTACAGCGAACGGTGCGGCCGATGAGGTTTCTGCCGCAAGTTGTTCGAAATGTTTGGAGCGAGCATCGAATATTTCGACTTCATCAAGCGTTGATGGTTCATCTGCCGGCTCGTTTCTGAGACTACGCTCTACCGGCAGCGAAGTGTTTAAGTTTGACGAATCGCTATCATCAGCATTCGTATCACTTTCATCACCATTGTTCGAAGTTTCCGTTAAACTATCTTCCTCGCCAGTGTGATGCTTCTTGGTTTGCTCATCCAACGTTAGTTGCGTAAGGTTCGTGTCGTAGGCGTAGTCTGGCGAAATATTGGTCTCATGACGATTGGGCGAAGTAATTGTTATGTGTTCAGCGCTGGTCTCTGCAATAATTTCTTGCGTATCGGATATAATTTCACTGAAATAATTCGAGGTATACTCCGGTATATCATACTCTTCGGGGTGTTCGCATTTCTTCGACAGCACAATCGTAGCATTCAGTCGTATCGTGTGACTATTATTGTTATCTTCACTCTCGCGCACACTCTCGTTGTCCGGTTGGCCGCCCTGCAGACGCTGATCGGTAGGTATTGCGCGTGCACGATTGAAATGTTCGCGTCGCTGTTTGTGCGCCTTCTTACGCATTTGTTCGCGCAATTTGTTGCGACTCGGTGTCCGATGACCGCCGCCACTGGCGTACAACGACAGCCGTGGTCCGCGATCACGCTTCGAACGACGACGATGGCGACCGCCAACACCGCTGCCGCGTCTCAGCGCATCGCCGGAACTGGCAGTAGTTGTGGTGGCAGTCGCCGTAGTGGCCGAAGTCGTTGTGCCGGTGGTGGGCGTGATTACGTTACCACGTCGCCGTTCGACGTCCTCCATTAGCGGCTTTAACGATTTTCTTCCAACTTTTAACGGTGTTTGTGGCGTACCGGTGGATGGCGTATCCGTTGTAATCGGACTGCTGGCCGGCAAATTTTTCAGCCTACGCCCGATTTGTAGCCGTAACAGTGAGCTACGTCGCTTACGTGCGACACGTTGTTGTTCCAACATTTTCAAATGCGTTTGCGACGCTGGCGTATGACTGATGGCCGACACATCGGCTAAAGAGAGTGTTGGCAACGGTGGTTTCAAAGCTTCAGTGTGCGTTGTTGTTGGCGAACACTTCTCGACGGTAAGCGAAAGCATCGACGAACCGGATAGCGCCATGAACTGTTTGAATAGACTACGACGATCGAAATGTGATTTGCTTTTGCGTGGCGTTGAGGTGCAAATATTATCGGGACTCTTCAAGCACATCGCCTCGAAGTTTTTCCTTTGTACAGCTTTAAGCAGATCAGCAGACAATTTTTTAGTCTTTGTATAGTTGTTGTAGTTGTTGTTCGAAATTTGTATGTTTCAATTGTAGAAGTAGAAAACGAAATCAATTAGAATGAATCAAAATTGGTTAACGGCAAAGTTTGTAACACTTTCAAGAAACACTTACGGAACAGCAACAACCAACTATACAACAATAACGGTAACGGTAACGAAACTGTTACGAATACAGCACAAACAACAAAAAGATAACAGCTGCGGTGAAAACGACACGTCTAACGAACAAGTCGATTCTCATAGAATCGGAAATTTTTTTTTCAATTTCATACATTGAAAAGAATTACGGATACACATAAAAAATATCGCATGCTATTTATATATGCTATATGAAAAATGTTGCATGCGATATTGAGATACTTAAAACGGAATATAGAAGACGACTATTTATATTTTTATATATATATATATAACTATAAAAAGTACAAGTCAAAAACAAAAAAGTATGCAATAATTTTGGAGCACCAACTCTTCTTTTAAATAATTAAAAAATGTTCAACTTTTCTTATCAAATTAAATTTTTGTTCATTAGAACCAGTATTTCTATGTTTTAATACCATATATAGTGAGCAGTGTAAAAAATCTATATTTTCAAATTCCTTATCGCATTTAACGTCTTTGTGATACCTAGGACAATATACCATAGTGTTCGAAAATATAACATCAAAAACTTATGCAAATTTTTTTTTTTTGTAATTTCGCGCTTTTTTTTATCAAATTATATTTTTGCTAATATGTTGTTGTATGTAATGAATAGTGCAAAAAATCAAAATTTTTTGAAGTTGGCATTCTAAAACCTTTCGAAATGGCTCTTTGGTTCAAATTTCTCAATTTTTAATGCTATCTTTTATCACATTTGACGATTTTGTATGTGATATCTAGGACAATATAGTAATTCGAAAACATAACCTCAAAAACTTATGCAAAAATTTTTTAAATTCAGATTCTTGAAACTTCATCACATTAAAAAATGCTTATTCAAAAAGAATCCTCGCTCTGAGAAATCGTAAATATTGGTTATATGTATGGCAACAAAAAAAAACAAAAAGGTTCAAGAATTAGACATTGATAACAATAAATATAATATATTATATAATCAAAAGTAATAACTTATTACTTGTTATAAAATAAAAATATTATACTCAAACCATAACTTTAATTTCATAATACTTTTAGCATTTTGGAAAACTCAAGCAACTCCGAAATTGCTTGAGATCAAAAAGAAAGTCAATGTATTTGTAGGTTGAAATATGACAAATAATTTATTTTAATTTAGAATAATTTTAGCTAAAAATTCTTTAACCTAAAAATTGAAATAGTTCAAAGAAATTTAAAAATTAAAATATTTTAATAAAAAAATTGAAAACTAAAATATTTACTCAAAAAAAGAACTCGCTTATTTTAAGTGTGCAAAAGGTCAGCTTGTAAAAATATAAGAATAATTATTATTAACAAACTTAACACTTATACAACATTGTTTACTTATTTACGAACAAAACGCTAAACCGAACAAACTTAACACTTATAAATACTCAAATTTTAACTTAAATATTGAAAGGAAAATAATGAACATTAAATGTGGCCAATTGTGGCAACTCACCTCATCCTTTGGATTGCTATTGCCCATGCTGAATTTCGATGCGAAAAAGCCAAAACGCACCGGAGTTTTCGCCGAGCTACCATAATCATTCACTTCTTTGAGTATTTCGCGTGGCGGCTCCGAGCTGCCGCCCAACGACAGCCGACCGCCATGTTTGCTCGGCGTCGGCGGTCCTGGACGCTTATAATTCGTGATGCCGGTGAGTTTTTTGCGCGCACCACCACCACCAGTTGTGCTCAGCAAAGCGCTCATGCTGTCATCCAAGCTACTGGGGCCATCCTAAGAGAGTGGTAGTGAAGAAGAGAGTGAATTTTCTATAAAGTTGATATATTTTGTTTAAAGATTTATGCAATATTGCGATTATTGAATTCTATGCAGACAGCATGCAACGAAGACCGCTGACAAGTACAACATTTCGACAACACGTGATCAATTTAAGAACGTTAACAAACAATTTTTCGTACACAGGACAATGCATTAAACAGAGAGAACACAATTACAAACGTGCGAAATGCATTAACAATGACAACAAAGTTTTTGGACAAACTAATTTAATTGCTTGAAATTGTTTACATTAAGGCAATATGTGAAATTTATCATAGGCGCACATATACTCGAAAGAAAACCCTTACAATTTGTATGCATGTATGTTAAATGAACAATTTTTAAGGCGCAGTCAATTTTAGAGAAATTGAAATTTGCCTTCATCCTCTCGGTAAAATTTTTGTATTTTTGCAAATGCTTAGAAGCACATTTTTGTCACTTTTGTATATAATTTTTTGGTTTGCTGGCTTTCTTGTGCTGAATTATTAGCAATATGTTATTTTGCATCGTCC